TTGTACGAATATATTCGCATACATATCCCAGCGCGAGTACTCTCTCTCTCGCAACAATTGCGCTGCGACAAAGCAGTTCATAGGCTCTATAGTTCATCGATGACATAGCGCAGTCCCGATGTCGAGAGACTTTGCCACAAAGCACCGACGACTCCCTCGTATTACCAGTATTTACCTGGCGTGTACGCCGCAAATCCCAGCTGATTAAGGATTTTCTGCCGTTATTTACTACTGGCGTTGTTCCTGGCTTTGCATGCGTCAGCAGCAGCAGCCGCAGCACCAAAGCTCAGAAATATGAAAGGCCAAAGCCACAACAACCGAGCGAGAGAAAAAAACAATAGACGTCATTGAATTCAACCATGTTCTTAGCCTCGCCGCGACGCACAATTCGTCTCGCGCAGCTCCTAAAATATTTATTTCATCCGCCAATATGTTAGATTAGGTTGATTATTTATTAGTCCCATTCTAGAGAGGCGGTAAATCGCAGCTCGCATAATAGACGCGCGCGAGTGCGCTGTAATCGACAGATTACTATAAAGGCAACATCTTACATCGTATATATAGCAGCTGCGATGGTAAGTGCAAGCGCCGTGACGCCGCGAGGCGAGGCTGCCGGCTCCTCCCTCTTCTTTGTCCGGGCGGCTCTCGCTGCTTACTCTATGCAGGTCTGCATTAGGTGCGAGGAGCAGTTAATTACCTGCATAAGATATAGCGAACGGACCAGCTACATAGGTGTTATTCACCAGTAGATGGCGTCCATAGACGGCAGGCCTGAATAAGCATGGCAAAAATATTAATCACAAATACTTAGTTGCATACGCAACATACATTTTATTCATGATATATGATCACAGATCATGAATCTTACTTCACGTACAGATTTCACTCGAAACTTTTGCTAGAGAAATTCGCAGGGTCACGTTTCACCCTCAAACACCATGGGACGGTCACCATGGGTACGTACTTCGATTGACAGAAAGTATAATTTCTCTAATTTCTGGACAAGGCCAGCATTACTTTTTATGCTTTATAGACATCTATAAGACATCTATCTTGCGAATACAGTGCAAATTAATTTAATATATATTGCCGAATAATACCTCACGAAAATGGGGGAAACGACCGTCTTATAGAGATGAAATAGTTGCGTGCAGACTACACCGGTCGGTTGACTCCTCAGTACCTACGTGACTTACTATAGTTGAGGCCGGGCATCGTTGGGAATCAAACGAGGTATTAACTGTAGAGGGTAAAAGTTACCTACTTGCTCCTACTCTTATGATAAAAAATTCAACTGGGAATAGTATATAATAAATATATTTTATAGAAAATGTAAATATTACACTCTCAATTCTTCGTGCTATTTTATATATTATTAGTAAAAATTAATTCAATGGGAACATTATTATGATATAAATATAATATTAATCATATCTGCAAATTATATTCCCCGCCTCATCTTAACTATATGCATTTGTGTCTTGGCGTCGTGAAAATCTCACGAGAACGCTACATAATATCCTAACCCGTCCAGTATATACCGTAAGATTCGTCGAGCTCTCGCCGCGATTGCAGACTGCCGACTTCCAACGCTCCTTCGCATAATTAACTATGCGACTCTCGCAGATACGTCAACGTCCCGAACCCACCCCATTGCCTACGTCCCATGCAGCATTTTTGCCTCAATGCAATGCTCTGCACGGACTTAACTCGTGGCTCAGCAGCGACCGTTCGTTTTGCAAACGAGTTCCTGTACGGCGAACCGCGCTAGTACATCCGTAGATCATCCTATCTACCTACTCACGGCTCCGTGCATTATCTCGTTAAATACACACGCCACACTTGTATTAATGAATAGTTGAAGACGGTTAATATCGTGCACATGTATTCCCTCTTTTGTCCTGTCAGCGTGAGCGAGCGGTCTTGCGTGGCTCCTATAGACGGCAAGCCATGTCACGACCAGTGCAAGTGCCGCGCATCAGGCAAGCACCCCCGTAAGTAAGAGATTTTCCGTGCTGTTTACGTCTTTATTCTTTTATAATTCTCCAATGAATGCCATGTGTTAGAATTTGTTTCTCGTGAATATTTGAGTACTCACATTAAGTAGTAAAACGCGCCGGACATTTTGCTCTCGCGATCTCTTAAAGTGCACGCTAAAGCCAATTATACCTTATCTACGTAACTTCGTCACAGAACCTAATACTGGGGTCACGAACTGATGTAAAAATGGATATTTAGAGGTTTCCCGATATGGAAACCAACATTGCATGCCCAGGAACTTTAAAACGAATACGGTTGGATCCAAAATAGCAGAAATCTAATCATGTGGACAATTGATAAGTTATCAATCTCAGGAAAGGTGAATAACAATAAAAGTGAGAATCATCGATATACGGATCATGTCAACTTATAACCGCATAAATTTTATATTTTCTGGCCGATATTCGCGTCAAAACCGAAGGTACTGCAGGCTTCTCGCCGTAGACCATGAGTCATAAGGTTGACCAACTCGTTTAGAGATTTGCCGTTCGTTCGTATATGGACGCGTAGTTTGGTTGATAATGACCGTAACTACACCATTTATTATAACAGGTTATCTACAACTATAATAAAATGTTGCCTGTACACGACGAATGGAGAATATATTATAAGGCTAAAGTTCTGATTTCAACATCTCTAATGCCTATTATTATAGAACTAAACATGCATCACAGGATTCTCAAAAAAACACCAGAGCATTCACTATGAATAAATATTTCTCTTAACATTGCGTTGACAGCGAGAGCTATGACGATAAATATCATCATGTTATGTTTATCACATGATAAACACTGCACCTACAAAATACTACAGCTAGGCTGAGGAAAAACTTATTTACACACTTAGAAAAATTCACATTTTTTATGTAATTAGCGCTTTTAGAATGCATGCGGAAATATATAATAGGTCAGTATATTTCAAAGTGTTAAAAAGTTAATTGTTCGTCAATACCGCCTACTCCTGGCTCTCAACATGTTTCGCGTTTCCGGAAGTTCGCTAACTATATCCCCACGCAATTTTTACCACATCCATACCGTTCTATCAAACTCCAGCCACTGCCCCTACTTTCATCAATTTCTACCTGAATCCCACCGTTTCACTAATGTCCATGCCTCCCAGCACGCTTCCACTATTGCCACATTCTTTCTAGATACTATCGTTATCCCACCTGAACACTGTCAAATGGAGATTTACCATGTTGTAATATGAACACAATACGAATTGGTACAATACAGATTTGCATGCGCATATTGAATATAACACTATTGTAAGCCTGTACATATAGATTGCATGAACATATTGAATATAAAACATATTGTATGCTGTACATATAGATTGCATGAACATATTGAATATAAAACATATTGTATGATGTACATATAGACTGTACGTGTTGTAAGTGTTGTAACCACACCTCCTGGCTGCGCTCTCGGGCACAGTCGACGCTCTTCGGCTATCAAACGTTACAATGTACGATTCGGTCGTAATTCGCTGTCCCTGGCGTTAAGCGTCGTAATATTACATACCCGACGCTCGTATGTAGATGCTACTCATTCGACTAATTCGCGCACGCAGACCTAATCACTCCATGATACACAGCTGCCCAGCCGCGTATATTATAGCAGCTATATATACACGTATATGGACGATGATGAAGCATCGGTTGGTGGCGATCGTAAGCGAATGTGTCGTGCTAGTCCAGCGAAATTCTTTGCGCGCCGCGACAAAGTTATATACCTCGCCTGTCAGGGCACCGATGCGAGCCGGCTAGCAAGAGAGATTGTGGGGCTTCATCGAGAGAGTGTGAGAGGGAGAAATAGAGAAGAGCAGAGGAGAACTCGGGGCTTCGGAGCCGAAGGACCAAAAGAGAAAGAAAGAGATGGAAAGAGAGGGTGCGAGGGGAAGAGAGAGGGAGAGAGAGAGAGAGAGAACGCTCGCGCGCATTTAGAGAAAGGTTTAGTGTGTGTGTCTGTGTGTGTGTGTGTGTGTGTGTGTGTGTGTGTGTGTGTGTGTGTGTGTGTGTGTGTGTGTGTGTGTGTGTGTGTGTATGTGTCAGTGTGAATGAGAGAATGGGGGAGAAAATGCGAAACGATTTCAGGTCAATGTTGTCAGTGGAACATTTACAAATTGCTATATTCGCGCTCATGATATATTTTAATATTTAATATTTGTTATTATTATACCATCTCCTACTCGCCTCTAAAAACGTTATTCACACATCTCGCGCTTGGCACCGCGCGAGTGATCAAGTATCACATTTAGATGAGCAGAGCGTAGTTCACGGACAAAGATGTCATTTTGCGGCCTGTTATTGCTGATAATTTAGTTGGTCCAGTTCAGCCTGATCGCAAGTGATTGAATCTAGCCAGCAGGATTTCGTTGATGAGTGCCGCGCTTCCCACACGACTGAGTATCTGATTGCGTTATCTCTGTCGAGAGCAGCATACGATACCTTGCTAACATAGGTTGCTGAAATAGATACACAAATATATTATTGACATCACCTACCGCAACAACGGCGTAGTCATGAACAAATTCGACATGGCAACATGATTGCTTGGCGTTTATTGTTGTGATTACATATGCAAGTATATGCAATGACTTAGCGCCATAGGACCTTCAGTCAAATAGTCAAATAAAAGATAGAGTGAGAGATAGGGGAAGAGAACGAGAAAGTTCGAGAGCTAGAGAGAGAGAGAGAGAGAGAGAGAGAGAGAGAGAGAGCAATAAATATATCATTTTATATTATATTATAAAAATTAATTCAATGTGGAACATTATTATAGATATAAATATAATATTAATCATATCTGCAAATTAATTACCCCATCTTAACTATATTATGTGTCTCGTTGTGAAAATCTCTACGGAGACGTAACTAATATCCTAACATGCAGTAACGTAAATGTCGAGGCGGATGCAGACTTGCGACTTCACGCTGATAATATATAGCGACTGCGAGATACGAACGCCACACCTTCCGCGCATGCGCATTTGCCTCATGCAATGCTGACGGACTAATCGTGGCCAACGCGCCGTTCCTATTGGAAACTGGAGTTATGTACGCGAAACGCGCGCTAGGACATCGTATATAGAGACTACACGCGATATGTAAGATACACACGCACACTTGTATTATGATAGTTGAAGACGGTTACATATCGCAGACGATGTTTCCCTCTGTTTGGTCTGGTCAGGTGACAGGGGTCTTGCGTGCTCCTATAGCAACCATGTCACACAGTGCAGTCCGCCATCAGGCAAGCACCCGGTAAGTACAAGAGATTTTTCGTGCTTTTACGTTATTTATTCTTTTTATAATTTCTCACAAGTAATGCCATGTGTTGAATTGTTTCGTGGTAACTATTTGAGTACATATTATAGTAAAACGCGCGACATTTTCTCTCCATGTCGGTAAGGCACCAAGCCATATACTACCGTAACTGTCACAGAACCTAATATGTGGGGTCACGAACTTTAAAAAAATGGAATCTTAGAGTTTCCCGATATGGAAACCAACATGCACCCGACTTAAACGAATACTGTTGGATCAAAATAGCAGAAACTATAGTGGAAATGATAAGTATAAAAGGTGGAATAAAAATAAAAGTGAGAATATCGATATAGGGAAGAGTCAATTATCAACGGCATAAATTTATATTTTCTGGGCGATATTCGCTCAAAACGAGGGAGCTCGCGTAGACGATGACGTCATAAGGGTGACAACTCGTTTAGAGATTTCCGTCGTCGTAGATGGACGCGTATTTGGTTTGATAATGACGTAACAACATTTATTATAACAGGTAACTACAACTATAATAAAATGTTTGCTGGTAACACACGATGGAGAATAATTTAAAGGCTAAAGTTCTGATTCAAACCTGTAATGCCTATATTATAGAAACTAAACATGCATAATCGAAAAAAACACAGAGCATTCACATGAATAAATATTCTATTAACATTGCTGTTACAGCGAGAGCTAGAGAATAAAATCACATTTTATGTTTATCACAATAAAAACTGCACTACAAATACTACACTACATGAAACCTTATTTAAACTATAGAAAAATTACATGTTTTATGTAATGCGCTTTTAGAAATGCAATGCGAAAATATATAATTAGCAGTATATTTAAAGTTTAAAAAGTTAATGTAATCGGCAAACCCTACTTCTGGGCTCTTCTAACATGTTTCGCGTTCCGAAGCTCGCTAACATATCCCCACCATTTCTTACCACATCCCATCCGTTCTACAAACTCCAGCCACTTCCCTACTTCCCATCACTTTCTACCACATCCCACCCGTTTCACTAATTCCCATCACCCCCACCACGCCCCACTATTTCCCACTATTTTCAGATACCCCCCACCTGATACATGTCAAATGTCGAGATTTTACATGTTGTATATGACACAATACGAATTGTACAATACAGATTGCATGCGCATATTGAATATAACACATATTGTATGCTGTACATATAGATTGCATGAACATATTGAATATAAAACATATTGTATGCTGTACATATAGATTGCATGAACATATTGAATAT